AAAATCTATGTGCATATAACTATTAGAGCTAGCTGAATCTACAGGACTTTTTTTTCTTAAATTTTGTTTATTTTAGCAAATACTAAGCAATTTAGGTAATTTACAAAATTCTTTGTAACTTGACCAGGAATGTAAACACCCATCATGATTTCTCTCCTAACCTGTACATAGTCTGTTACTTTCCTGTTTTAACAAAAGAATTTTCAATTGCAAACTCTCACCTGTACTCTAACCTGCACTATACATTATTTTGGTTTAGGAATTTATAAATGAACTAAATAGGCCAGATAATTAGATTCAAGACATCTGGCAAGCAAACACTCAGAAATTATGAACAGTAATCTTAAGTACTTCCTAAAGTCATACTATATAGTCAACATCAACATGCTAGGTCTAGTATAGTCTGAAGCAGGACACAGCTGACCACTAAGATGGAGCCATTCTTTTCCCTTTCTCCAACTTTAATTTCCTTAACTAACATTTGCTCTGTTTTGTTTGCTGCCTACACTTATGTTTTCCTTAGTTCACGTTACACTTATTTGCTTTAGAGGTTCTAAAATCCAATGCAAAATCTGTTCTCATTAACAGTTTCCATTTTCATGAAATTCTATCAAGCATACAAATAGTAGAGTCCACACTGTAAGATACTCTAAGGAGCTTATATCTCATGTGGAAAAAGAAAATAGAGCAACATTCCAACAGAAAAATGTTCAGCCTTACTCAGAATAAAACTACATTAAAATACATTTTATTCAGCTATAATTTTAACAGAGACCCAAGGAGTTCTAAGAATAGTGTTGGAGAGACGTAACGAAATAACCTTATATAATGCTGTTTTATGTATAAATTATCTCACTGTGCCTAGAATTTGGATATCTTTCAAATATTCTCTGATCAAGCTTTAATTCTTATTGACAAATTCGGTCATGTGTGAGATATTGCATAAGACAAGGAAAATCACTGCCATGTTACTATTAATTGCTAAAGACAAGAAGCAGGGGCAGGTTAAAAATACTGTGTGTATCCCTAAAAGAAAAAAAAAAAAAGAGTGCCTGTAGTAAAGCAGTTATAAATGGATTAGCATGGAATTATCTCCAAGCTATATTGTTAAATACTAAAAATAAATAGAAGATAAAGAACGGAATGCATATTTTCTTATTTGTGGAAAAAATAATAAATGGGATATAACAAATTAATCTGCTTGTACACACACAGAGTATCTCTGGAAACAACTGGCAACACTTGTTCTGGGGATGGGAAAGGACTGAATAACTAACTATAGGGAAGAGATGACCCAGAAATTTACAATCATACACAATTTTCTGTAGTTTTTTATTTTATACCTGTTATTTATAATACATGTAAATTAAGTGCATATTTTATTTACAATTAAATCTTCCTTGTGGTTTGAATCTGGAGCCAAACCAAATCTGGTTTCAAAATTATTTCCAAACAATAGTATCTATGTATAAGACAAGTTACTTAACATTCTTGAGCTGCATTTTCTTTCACAACAGGATTCTGTTAGGATATGCAGATGTGATGTTTAAGTACGATAACACATAAAGCCTCTTCACAGCATTTGTTACACACAGAGTAACATGACCAAATTATCAGCGACATTTGCCTTTCCTTCCCCTGAACCTATACCCAAACTGAATCAAATGACTATATTTTTTTAAACTCTGATTTAAGACAGACCAAGATAAATGAATATAAATGATTTATACAACAGGAGAGTCCTTAAAATTATTTAAGGTGGATAGTTGTTGACATGACCCACACATGGGAATCTAGGGGGGTTTTGTTTATAGTTTTAAAATTTATGCTCCTAAGTGAATGAAATGTAGACAAGCCAAGCCTGTTAAAAAAATGTATATAGGACATTAAAAGAGCACACTTAATGGTTCTTGGATCCTACCTAAATATGCTTGACTTTAAAGTTAATTTTAGAATAAGAAAGCCTTCTCTATTTAAATTTGAGCAAACTGATACACAGCTGGAGAATGTGGGCCTTAAATTTGGACAGAACTTTTGAACTTTGGACATTATGTAGTAATGAGACTATTTACTTGCATTTCAAATTCACTGATAACATGCAGTTTTTCCAATTTCATTTCACCAAATGACTTCTAGTCTAATTTTCTTTCTTGGAAACCACATAGTCCAGTCACTGTATATAAATTCAAAGTTTTTAAGTTCCAGTTTAGGTATTACCTTTGTAATAGTTAAGTTACATTGTTTTGATTGTTTTCTTTAGGGATTCTGAATATCCTTTGTCTGAAATGCTTAGCACTAGAAGTGTTTCAGATTTTGAATTTTCGAGTATTTGCATACACATAATGAAATATCTTGGAAATGGGACCCAAGTCTAAACCAAAAATTCATTTATGTTTAAGATAAAACTTATACACATAGTCTGAAGATAATTTTAATCAATATTTTAAATAATTTTGTGTATTTTGATAGTCACCCACCACATGAGGTCAGGGGTGGAATTTTTTACCAGTGGTATCATGTAGTATTCAAACGGTTTTTGATTTAGAGCATTTCAAATTTTAGAATTTCCTAATTAGGGATGTTCAACCTTATATATGTGCTAGACCTCCTTCAACTATCTTTCATCTCAATTACTTTTCCTCTAACAATTTTTTCTTTTTAATTTTCTTTGTTTTTCTGTAATACACTGAAATTTTCATGTTACTTTACTTCCTATTGGGTATCTCACAACTTATTCTTCATTTCTGGTATGATTTTTTCTATTCTGTTTTTTCTTTAACTATCATTTCATCTTGTTTCCTTATTCATTACTGTTCTTTGTATTTTTCAAAGTGTTTAATTTCATATCCCCAAATGCTTGCTTAATGATATCTAATTCTGTTTAGAGTGTTGGGTTACAGTATTTTCTTTTTCCAGTTCTGCCCTCTACTTAGAGGTTTCCTTTATGGCTACAAAATTCTTTTATGGTTATTGGTTTCTTTTGGATTTACTTGGGGAAAAGAGAGTAAACGGAAGTTGTTTCTTGGTTCTCTTTTTATTCTTTCAGGATACTAATTTCTTTAAATTTCCTTGTTTTCCTTCATGGCCCCACTTCTAAGGGGAGCTACTCCTTCTTTACTGTATCTGATTCTCCGTAAAAAGCAATGCTTCGCAAAGGCTGCCACTTCTGGTTTCACTATCTTTCAGATCATTTCCCTATTATCTTGTGCTTATTAACTACTTTCTCCTTGTGTTCACTATTTTGGCATTTAGTATTAGTAGGCTTCTTCTTCTAGGGATTATTCTAGTCGTGCTTCTGAGTTTTTCATACTCTGGTTAGCCTTAAGCCTTTTCTCCCCACTACTAGTTTCCATAGGTTTCAAAGGTGAGAGGACAGAGGGAACACTTTTGGGATTTACTGCTCTACTTAAGGTAACTGGGAACTTCTGGTATTGATCTTTGTCTCCTAATCATGCTGAAGAGATGGATAACACAGTTTTATTTTCTCTGCTTATTGGTTTGATAATTATTTTTGAAAGGATGAAGAAAACCAAGCAGGTGCCACTATCTTCCAAAAACCTTTTGTAAGAAGACTTTTAATTATGGATTCCATCTCTTTATTAGAAACACAATAGTCACTTTTTCCATTCTCTTTTTCATTTCTTGGCAATATTATTAGATTTTGTCAGTTGTATTTTTCTGTAAAATTTGTTGATTTCATATATACTTTCCAAGTTGTTGGCATAATGTTATTCTTAATACCCTGTTACTACATGTAGAGCTAGGAATAAAGACATTATTATCATTTTTGTTGCCAACTCTTCTTGGTCAGAGTTTTTAAAAAATATGACAGTTTTTAAAAATACTGAGATTTCTGAATACCAAAAGGAGAGGCCTTGTACTTCCTCTCCTAGAATCTTTGAAGACATTCCTGAGTCCAGCAATAATGAACAGTGGACATGATGCTGTATGAATTCTGAGGCTAGGTCACAAAATGCCTTTTAGCTTCCTGCTTGTACTCTGGGAGTTGTTGCTCAAAGGGAAGCCAACTGTCATGTCACGAATCTTGACTACCCCAAGAACATTATATTGGAAAAGTTGCAAAGAGAAAGACAAAACTACAAGCACAAAGGCAACTAAAACACAAACATACCTAACAACTCAACAACAAACCTCCTTACTAGTTTATCTAGAGGACAATGCCTGCCCTTTCCCCTCACAAATGTAATCTTAGTACACAGACACATAATTTAGAAGGAAAAGAGTTCAAATAAGAAATGTTACATATGGAAAACACAGAGATACACACATCACAGATGGGGCTGTCAGACAGTAGAAGATGCTTCATATACCCATATGTCATAACTGATTTGAATATACAGGTGGTTCCCTACTTCACATTAACTTGTAAGCTAAGAAAAGGGGAAATTAATTTTAACATGCAATGTTGAAACAGCCCTATTTCTCCAACACCCAATGAACATGACTATTTAAAGTTAACATTTCTAGTAGCTTTGATATTGTAGTATATTATCACACACACAAAAAAAAAAAAAGACAAAAAAGAAAAGACTATGAAGGGACGTTCAGAAAATACCAGCAGCTAGCATAATGCTTGGAATCAATGGATGTTCCACTGATACTCATTAGATGAGGGGTCATGAATCAGTTAATTTCAAGTACTTTATCAGCACAGACCAGTTTCTAAACTAAATCGTAAGTATAACATGCAATAAAAAGTTACTGATCTATTAATTTATATCCTTCAGAGTGGTGGTTCTAAGAAATTATACCCATTTCTTTGAGAATAGCTTATTTTCTCCTTCAGAACAAAATGTCTTAAAGACAGAGAGATGAAAATAAAATCATCTATCACTAATCTACTGGTTCTAGAAATGTTTTCACCCTAATGAGAATGGTTTCAATACTTAAGTAGAGTTCACCTTACCAAGTTTACTTTTGGAGTGGGTATTTTACATATAAAACAGTGACCCAATTAAAATAATGTGTGAATAACCTACCAAATCCAGGAACACTTTTGAGACTGGCTTTGAGGCAAATTTTCTCCAATCTGAGGTAGCTATATCTCATCAGACAATTCCACAAGAACATCCAGTCCATTCTTGTCCGATGGTTCATAATAATAACACTTCTTTCTCCAGGTATAAATGCATCACCTGTTATAATCACTTTTACACCAAACACGGTCTCCAACAATGCCTAAGAGACAAACAGTACAGATATATAGCAACTTAAAGTTATGATTTTCCATAGGCAAATTTTATAATGTAATAATACATCTTATATCCTATAATACATCTTATGATTTCTAATATACAAAAGCAGTTTCCCATGATTCTTGTTTCTATAATAAATCAGGGGAGGAGTTAATCTAGAAGAATGAGACTATGAAAAAGTATATTTTTAAGTTCTACTTATGAAGTACTGTTTATATTTTTAAGTTTTACTAATTTAAATTTCTGACAGTTTTGTGATAGAAAAATGCTAACTATCCTTGAAATCTTCAGAATGGATTACTAAATTAAAAAAGAAAATGTGTGTAAGATTCTATTGTGTAAGGTTCTAGATATGTAAAATTATAACATATTTTTCCTAGAAAGGATACCAAAAATATAACCATGAATGCAGAGCTAAAGAGAAAACTAAATGTTACATTTTATTTTCTGTAAAATAATCTTTTGTTAATCAAAAGATTCACTTTAATAATACATAAAGAATAAAATAACTGTACATCTATTAAAATAAAATGTTGCAGCCCCATTACCAACAATAGTGTCTGGCATACAGCAGAACAAATATTTGCTGAATTTGTTCCATTTAACTTTTTTTGGGGGGGGGGGAGGAGAACAGTGCTGGGGTTTGAATTCAGGGTTTTGCTAGGAAGGCATTTTACTACTTGAACCACTCTTCCAGCCCTTTTTGCTCCGTTTATTTTGGCACTAGGATCTTGCTTTTTGCCCAGGTTAGCCCGGACTGTGCCATAATCCTACTATTTTATTCTTCCTAAGTAGCTGGAATGTCAAGTGCATTCCACCATGCTCAGCTTTTTTCTGTTGAGATGGGGTCTCTCAAACTTTTTACTCAAACTGCCCTAGAACCACACTCCTCCCAATCTCAGCCTCCTGAGTAGCTAGGATTACAGGAATGAGCCACAGGTGTCCAGCTCTCCATTAAGTTTTTTAATGGCCATGAATACAATATATATGAAATATTTAGAATAAAAGTGTATTATAGAATAGAATTCTTAAAAGTAAAATAATAGATAATAAGAAAACCTGCCTGTTGATTTCAATCTTATTTATTAATTTATTAATTTATTTATTTTTGAGTTTCACTATGTTGCCCAGTCTGTTTTCAAACTCTTGGGCTCAAGTGGTCCTCCAGCTTTAACCTCCTTTGGGACTACAGATGCAAGTCACTGTGCCTGGCTCCATCTTTTATTTGAATTTTGAATTGTTTACATGTAAAAATATACTGGTTAATTTTTTATTCCACTGTGAATGGAGAGAGAATTGGCGCAAGGCTGAGGATGCAGCCCAGTGGTAGTGCACTTCTGTAGCTTGCACAAAGCTCTGAGTTCCATCTCCAGTACCACCAAAAAACAGTAAAATTAAAGTAAAATAAAATAAATCAAAAGGTACTCTTAGGAAAATATCATGGTTACCTTTTCAAAATACAACAAATGAATTGGTACAGTCAGGTAGTGGAAAACAATTCAACAATGAAAGTAAATGAACTGCAGGTATCTAAAGCAGCACTGAAGACACAAACATAATGTTGAAAACAGAAGCAGAACAATCAAGTAAAGATTGCATACAATAAATATCCATATATAAAGCTTTCTAAAAGCTAGGATATTTGGGGGGAGCAAATATGTAGATGCTTAAAGTATAAAGAACAACGAAACGACTTTTTAAAAAGTCATTAGTGGCTACTTCTGCTTAAAAGAAGGGCATTTTGACTGATGTGCTAAGTAGAGCTAGCTGGAGGGCTGGCAATATTTTATTTCTTGACCTAGTCAATAGTTATATTTAATATTAATTAATAAGTGGATTTGTGTCTTTATTAACTTTTTAGAGCATATATTTCACAATAAAATCCTTTTATAATACAATAGAATAAGCCTTCAAAACATCAGAATAAACAAGATCAAGAAAAAAATCAAGGTTAAAATAGTATTAGCTAAAGAAAAAGAGTGGTAAAGTGAAAAGAAGTTAGAAATGTTACACTATACACTGTTACACAGCCAAGAGTAACACCACCCTGATGAGGAAAGAAAGTAAGGTCATTTGAACTATAACAGCTACTGATATCCAATGATGCCCTTTAAGTTACTTCCCCAGGGTGCAAATTCACTCAAGGACATGGACATTTAACCTGGCACCTATCATGCCATAAAGGACAGCTTCTAAGCAGGTTAACACATACAACCCTCTTGAAATTGCATACGAAAACATGTGAGTGTGTACATATGTACATAGGAAGAATGCCTTCCATTTTCAAAAGGGTCCATTGTCATTTGCAGGTAAATGGAATTGGAGAACATCATCTTAGTGAAGTTAGTCAGGCTCAGAAGGCCAAAAGCCACATGTTCTCCCTCACATGCAGACTGTAGACCTAAAAAAATGCAGCAATGTTATAGGATGCAGGTCACACTAAGGAGAGGTCACACACAGGAGGGGCAGGGTAGGGAAAGAAACCAAAAACTTGAATGTGGTTGATGTGCTCACTATACAGGAATGAATACAGAAATCTTAAACTGGCTGGGGACACTATGGGAAGGGAACCAGGGAGGAGTGAAGAGGACTATAGGAGATGAACCAATTAGGGTCATAATATATATACACATGGAAACAACACAAGGAATTTCCCTGTGTAGATGTCTTTATCTTAAACTAGCAAAAACTCCACATTTCTGTTTCGATCTTTTATGTGTTTTCTTCTACAAAAGCAGAGAACAGGAGGGAGGAACAGGTTCTGGGATGGGGGTGTTTGGTGAAGGGAGGAGGGGCGGTAGCGGGGAAAGGGGTAGGAGGATGAATATGGTGTAAATAATATGTACACATGTATGTAAAGACAAAAATGATACCTGTCTAAATTGTTCTAGCAATCGGGGGAGCAGGGGGGAGAAGGGATGAAGGAAAGCAGTGGAGAGGGTGAAAATATGATATATTTGATACATTGTAAGAGCCTTTGTCAGTGCCACAATGTACCCCCACCCCACACAACAATAAAGGAAAAAAATTAAAAGAAAAAAAAGGCTTCATAAATTTTCAAGTAATATAGTTTCTACTCCAAGAAGTCTCGGGAAAGTTAAGTCCCTTATGGAAGATTTCATCATGATGGAGCAGAACATGGCAAAGTCCTCCAGGCTTTGGCACATAGTAAGAAATATCTTTTTCTAGTAACTGTTCGGTAGGTGATGCCAAAGCACACCACCGAATTACATCTTGTCCCAAAGGATATGTATGAAGTCACTATGCAAAATTAAGCTGGATTACCTCTAAAATATGATATTCTTTTCATATTTGAATTGAAATGCTGAATACCCTATGCTTAACTGGTAGAAATAAATTCACTATTGTGTATTGCACTATTGAAAAAGTTAAAAATCTTAAGCCTACATTCCTTAAACCTCAACTCTAACTCATGATGTACATTTCTAAAATATTACTTCTTGGATTCCAAACCATCTTTAGCTTTTCATTATGGAAAATGTCCAAACACTCAAGACTATTTGTCGGAGCATCTCTTCTGGCATTCTCTCCCTTGACTTCTAGCACTAGAACATGAGTGAAAGTTATGTGTAACCTTTTCCACAGCCTGGGTCTCAAGCTCATGTAAATCATTTTTAATATGAGACAACATTATTTGCAGCTCCTAAAAAGACAGAATAATAAATAGGCTACACTGAAGTAAAGTTGTAATGTTTATAAAGAACTCCAGAATTCAAATTATCTAGATTACAAGGAAACTATTGTCATCTTTCTAGGATTTGTTCTATTTCTTGTAAAGAACACTTTTGGCAATAAGAAACTAAATAGTAATCTTTCAAAATTTTGTGATACATTATCTTATATTCATTTAAGAGTAACAATTCTCATAGTTTTTACCTAATTGGTCAAAGACTTTTCCTAGAATTACAAATATGAAACAATTTTTAAGGATCTATTATATACCTCTACTTACTACCTCCAAGTGTTCTACCCTGTATGAACTACAAAGATGCAAGGTTCTCTTCATAATCAAGAGAGTCAGTTTGCCATCCTGCTCTCATTCATCATTTCAATGGATCTTTAACTCCATGACATTCATCTCCAAGTCTCCTTTGGTTTTTCAGGCTTAGCTTTGGTAGGGTTCCCCAAATCCTTAGCTGTTTAAGGCCTTGAAATCTCAAGTCATTTTTCAAACACAGAGCACCTACTTTCTTGAGAGCAATAGTGTAGACAGCTATTAAATTCAGCCACCTGTATTTACTGAACATCTATTTTGTTCTAGAGACTAGAATGCAATCAGCAAGCAGTGAAGTAACTGGGTCCTAGGTAGAAAGTTAAAAATGACCTCTGCACATATGAATAAAAGAAAAAAAATGGAAGCAAAATAAAGACATATTGCAACATCAACAACAAAAAACATAATCTTAAAAAAAAAAAAGACCTCTTAAAACCTCTAAATTCCTTACTATGATTTATGGGAAAAGGACTGAACACCAAGTAATTTTCATCATCTCAAATAATTTGTTAACAGTCAAATTGTCGCTAAGACTCGGAATTTTGAACAGCAAAAACTGCTCTGTGCAAATGCAGAATTGGCCCTTACAGTATTAATTAGATGAATGGAACTGTGCAAAAATAAAGGCTTGGAGTGTGGTGGAGTGCTTGCCTAGCATGCATGAGGCCCTGGGTTTGATTTATACCACTGCAAAAAAAAAAAAAAGAAAAACTTTCCAAAAATGAAATGAACAGATATGTAGCACTCATTATACAAATGTTCAAAGAAGGATTGAATGATCATTCTGCAGGCTGATCTAGAAGAGATACCTGCACACAGAGGTAGGTTAGACTAGGTGACCTCTAAGTCTCCTCTAACTCTAAGATTGTACAAGATTTTACTGCTATATCTCATTTAACCAAGGAAATGTGCTCCTTAAAAACAGCAAGACAGAAAAAAAAATCCTGCCAACAAATCGTTTAATGCACAAGAGAAGCTTATAAAAGAAAAGATCATTTTGTGATTATTTCTATAAAGCAGGAATTAGTTTAAGTGCGTTTATCCTATTTTATTTTTAGTGGAAAAGCATTTTTAATTATTTGAGATTACCTAAAATAAAGAATACCTATAGGAGAGAAAAGAATTTTTAGATTAAATTCCTTTTGAATAAAAAATGTACTTAAAAACTCATTTAGAGTTTTTAGTAAACTAGTAAAAATACAAAATTAAAGATGATAAACTATAGCCTTGAAAGTTTTTCTCCACTTTTCTCAATACAGATATTCACTAGTTTAAAATTGGGGCATCAGTTCTTCTGTATACTAGTTATAGGGGTTTAGAGTTCTCTTAATTTCTTAGCTAAAAGATTCTCTCTGCTTGACGCACTATGACTGTGAACTAAACAACTAAACTAATAGACATTTTTCAAATACATATCAGTTTAATAGTACAGCAGTAGTTAACCTAAGTGTTAAGTTCTAAAACTTAACACAAGATAATAAAGCAAAAGTCAAGAACAACTCAAATTATCAGTAGAAATCTCAGAGAAAGGTGCCTCTCAAGAAATCGGCATGCTAAGCCCAGTTCAGCCAGTTTTTCCCAGTGCTGGACCAGACTGCTATTTCTCCAGCTGAACATCAGATGACATGACTGGTTTGCAAGTGTTTAAAACTATTTATCTTTGTTTGGCGTCAGTGGCTCACACCTGTAATCCTAGTTACTTGGGAGGTGGAGATCAGGAGGATTGTAATTCAAGGCCGGCCAGGACAGTTTATGAGATCCTATCTCAAAAATAACCAACACAAAAAAAGGGCTGGTGAAAAAGCTCAAGTGGTAGAGCTTCATGCTACCCAGTGAGCATGAAGCCCTGAGTTCAAACCCCAGTTCCACCAAAATATCTATATATATATATATATATGTGTATCTACATAGATATATCTATATATCTGTAAATCCATATAACTCTACCCATCTATCCATCTATCTATCTTTAAACACAAGAATAATACTCAGCAGAGAAGCACTCATTTCCCATTTAATCTCTCACGAAGCAGGGAAAATTCCTTGTCTTTTCTGTCCACTCTTTCCTCATCAATCTGAGTACATGTAACTGAAATTACACAAACATACATGTGACATAATTTTGCTGTGTTAGTAATTCTATTATTAGAAGCAACAGCAGTAGAAGCAGCTATTGCAAAAGTTATCCACTAACTTGCCCACATTTCTTCCAGAGTAATAAGAGCTTTAATTGTGCATATTGCTGCCTAGAAAAAAAGACATTTCCCAGATTCTATACAACTTTTAGCTGCTCTCATCAATACAGTAAGCAAAAGAGGAATGTAGAACTTGCTATGAACTAGGTATGCCATTCAATAGTATAAAACAAGTCACAAGACTGAAACCTTTCGGAGTATGTTCTTTGACCACAAAGTAATTAGAATAAATTCAAATTAACGATAAAATATCTAGAAAATTCCCAGACATTTAGAAATTAAACGGCAAATTTTCAAATAACCAAATAACCCACAGATCAAAGAAGAAATCACAAAACGTAATTAGAAAATATATCAGGAGCTGAGGCATAAGGTCATGGGTTTGTTCCCAGCAATGCCCCCCCAAAACCAACCTAAGTAATAAGAGACATAGAGCATCAAATTTGTGGGATACAGTTAACACAATGCTTAGAATCATGTACCTTTAAAGTTGATAAAAGGAAAGAAGAAATACCCAGGTATGGTGATTCGTGCCTGTACACCAGCACTCAAAAGGCTAAGTAAGACAGAAGGGATGCAAATTTGAAGCCAGAATGGGACACATAGCCAAGTTCCAGGACAGCCTGGGCTACATAGCAAGACCCTGTCTCAACAAAACAAAACCAGAAAAGAAGAAACATTTAAAATTAGCAGATTAAATTTCTACTTTAAGGAGCTTAAGTGGCTCAAGTGATAAAGCACGTGCCTAGCTAGGAGAAGGCCCTGAGTTCAAAACCTCAGTACCATGGGGAAAGTGGGGTTGGGGGGGTGGGGGAAATTATACCCAAACTAAGAAGAAAGTAGCAAATACCAGAAATCAGAACTGGAGGTATGGTGCAAGCCAAAAAATACTTACTAATATGCACCTGCTTCAGATAATTCACCAATCTACCTTTGGCGTCTCTAGCAAAAGAGAAGTTTGTATGTGACTACTTCATACAAACTTTGCTCTGTGAGAAAATCATTCTATTACTGACACTAATTTTATGACTAATGAGTTTCTCAGATTTTTTTTTCCCCTCAAGTCAGGTATTCCTTAGCTTGAAAGAACTTCAAATTTTCTTTTTTTGAAACATTCATGAAGTGCCAATGAAATTCCAACCCACTATGAGCTAATAAGGCTCCACATGATTCTTAGGAATCCTTGAAGGTTTTTGATCACAAAGGCTCTATCACTAGATAGATTGGATTTAATCTCAGCTCTACTTAAATAATTTGCTTACACATGTGATCTTGGGCAAATTGTTTAATTCCTCAAAGTTTCTATTTCCTTCTGTAAAATCAGGATAAAATGGCATATGTGTCACATATGTGGTAAACAGCTATTATCATCAATACCCCTTTTTACTTTTAACAAAACATTCACATTCTTCTTGTATTTCAGTGAAATATGCAACCATACCATGGTTAGTTATTATCTACTAGTAAACTAGCATCCCTTTCTTTTTGCTCATAGAGCAGGCAACTTTAACTGCAAGTATAGCAAAGAGGGGAAGAAGAGAAGAGGGTCATGATGGGAGGAAAGGTTAGTAGTATTACATTTCATAAAACACATATATCAGAATAAAAATTTAAAACATAAATAACTTTCAGCAAAGGATGAATGCAGATTGTAAAAGTACATATCACAGGTTTCATTTTTAAAACTCAAAAAGTTCATAGTAAATGATTTATTAACATTCAAGAAACAAGTACCCCCAAACAAGGTTAGGAAACCCATACCACTACTGTTTTTGGAAATATCTTCCAGTCAACCTCCATGTAAGTGGTATATAACATTATCATGGATACTTTCTTCTCTACAAACATCACTTGGGCCAGCACTTTGCTTGTAGCCTGAGGGGGGATAGACAGCTCAATTTAAATGAAATAGGTAAAAAAAAAAATCCTTTTATCAACCAGAAAAGAGCATTTACCTTCTTGTTTTCTTTTTCAGATATTATACTAATTACCTCTCTACCATGACAGATCAATAAACCTAGCAACCTTAAATTCCAGCTGTTGATCAGTAAAAAGAACAAACTGAACACTCTCAGGAAATATAACCTAAATATTCAGGGGAAGGCAACTACATACACCTCACTCAACTTTGGGGGAAGGCCCTGTTGATTAGCAGCAACAGAAAAGAGTTGAAGCCACATCAGTCCCAGAAGGAGAAGGAAGAAGTGTAGACTAGAACCCAACAAAAAGTCACCAGCTTATGATCAGTGATAGATGTGCTCACAATAGTGTGCATGACCTCACAGAAAGTACAGGTGTTATAAGACAATACTGAATATTTTGTGTGCTCTTTGACCTTACTGATATAGTTAACCTACTCTAACAAATAAGAAATCATTTTGTTTCTAAATTCTATGATTACTGTGAAGAACTGAATCAATCACATCAATATCATAAGTTTAGAAAAAAGTTTACTAATATGAATCTTAACTTTTGTCATTGTTTTATAAAAAACAAAAAAAAATTATCTTCAATCCACACCTTTAAGATTTATACAATTTACTATATGTAAAGTATACTTCAGTGATAAAAAATTAAAAAAAAATTCATAAAGAATATGGAAAGATCTTAATATCCTATGATTCTTAATTATTTTAAGGATATAAGTTATTTTTATTTCTCTTTAGTTTTTCTATTTTCCCCTTTAAAACTCTAACGTGCCTTTTATAAAACATGAAGGACTTATTTTTCTTCTAGAGTGCAAATTTGACTGTAACATAATAAAATCAATGAATTGCGCCACTCCAATACAAGCTAACAGCCTCTTCTCTGGTGTATAACTTACCACAGGTAATGTGAGCCAGGTGGCCACAAGGCGGTTGTTGATCCAGCGATACCACGATGGGTTTACAAACATCAAAGGTAAAATAGGACCCAGCATAAAAATGCTTCCAAAAAAGCTCCCCCCAAACAGAGTGAGTATAAAGTAAATCCCTTTCCATGACACCATGATTCTGAAAGATATAAAACAAAAAAAACCAAAGAATATATTTTATTACTATACACTTAACAGCTCAAATTTCACATCAGAATGATATATATATATATGTATGAATGTGTGTATATATATACATATATAATATTCTAATTATAGGGCTACTGAAAAGGCTCTGATAAAGGAAAAGAAACTGAATTTCATGGATGTGATCCTCTAACATATTCTACAAGTCTAACAAGTTACCAATACATTAGAAACTGAATTCTCAATAAAGTAAAAATTTGATCTATAAGGAAAAAAAAGTGTAGTTTAAGAAACCTTTCATTTTAATCAATTAGTATTTAACATAAAACAGTATATTTTATTTTCCAGAATGTTATCTAGCACAAAAGCTTAAAATATTCCAGAGGTTTTTTTTTTTTCCCTACCCAGAGGTAGAAATAATAGAGAATAGCAGAACAGCCTCCCAACAGCAAGGACACCTAATAGCAATATGACAGAGTGGACTAAAATAAAACAAGACATCTAGAAATGTTCATTCTTTACATTAACTCTAAAAAACATCTTTGGGCACTTGTTCTTGAACTGGCTCTTTAGGAGCTGAAAGGGAAAGTAGAAATCATACACGTACTGACTTTACTAAACTACTTTCCAAAGGATTACTTTAGTGGGTCCTCATAGCTAGAATTTAATGTGGATATTTTAAAATAAATGGTTGGGCACATAGTTCAAAATGAAAAATAAAATATCTGATTTTTAAAATCTAAATTACAATAAAGCAAAAATATAGCTTGCCTCAGAATAAAATTTTTGAAAACATTAGAACTATGAAAACAATAATGGCCTTAAAATTCATGTATTACAAAATGTAAAAAGGATAAATTTTTTTTTAAATTCCAGAGGTCTTGATCTCTGGAACTTTTTAAAAAGAATCATAGAAGAAAACAGAAATAAAATTTTGAAAATAATGGTGCTTTTTAAAAATGTCAGACAAGGCAAGGCAAGGTGGCTCAGCCATAAACCTGGGCAAAAAGCTCTTAAGAACCCACCTCAACCAATAAAAACTGGGTGTGGGTGGCATCTACCTGCCCTTCCAGCGACACAGGAATAGAAGGAACATGGTCCAGGCCAGCTGGACATAAAACCTAAGACTCTATTCCAAAAATAACTAAAGCAAAAAGAGCCAGAGGCATGGCTCAAGTGGTACAGTAACTGCCTAGCATACAGTAACTGCCTAGCAAATGCTAAGCCTTTATTTAGTCAAACCCTAGTACTGCAAAAAAAAAAAAAAGAGAGAGACAAAAGAACAAAACAGGTCAAATACCTTACCAATAACACAGAATCAAGTTTAAATGGATATCAAGTATATCTTTAAATCTCTCCTAGTACTTGACAGCATCTATACAAAATTCTTCAAAGTACAAACAGAATACAGGGGCTGGGGGCATGGCTTACTAGGCCTAATGAGCATGAGGACGTGAGTTCAAACCCCAGACCTAAATAAATATTTTTTTTAAATGGCTTTTTGCTACCTCTACATTTGAACTTTTAAGAAGGAGGGTGAGGGGTGAGGGAGTAATGGCAGAGAAAAAAGATCCCTAGGAAGCAGTAGGCCAAAAGCTCCATCTCACAGGCCTGTGGTTCCAGATTCCTCCTCTTTGCATTAAAAGACATCAAAAGCAGTTTCTCCCCAATCTTTAATTTGCAGCTTAAAAAAAACAAAACAAAAGAAAACAAACAAAAAAAAGCAGGGACTTGGTGTGGGTGGGAAAACAAAAATTTTTTTAAGTTCAGTATTCTCAACCCCTACTTCCTTTTATATTCTTTCTCTGGAAAAAAAAAAAAATCCTTCAGTGCTCCTACTCTACTAAACACCCTGTGACTACTTTTTCCTATCTGTTTTTTCCTGCCAATCAGTCTTCAGCTAGCTCTGTTTAGACACTCATTCCTTGCCCCTCCTACAGAGCTACACTTATCCACATATTACTGCTTCCCTAGCAAAGGCACTGGTTTACTTCTTCCTCAGTTAACAATTTCTGATTTAATGAAAAAATACAGTTATAGGAACTTAGCTATCATCTAATGAAATCTTTTCATTGTATAGTGATGAAGCTAAGGCCTAGACGAGTTAAGATGGCTATCCTAAATCCACATAGTAGCATCCAATCTTTTCTGCCTATTACTTCTTCACTACATCATGCTACCTGTCTCCTGCTAAGGAGATGAGAATCAGAGAACCAAGTTAACCTTTAAACATATATTAAACACTTAAACTAACATAAAGGGATGCATTTGCATGAATATACTGGGGTTACTCAGACCAAATGTATTCTAAAGTTATTTCTCTATCCTACTTCTATTTCTCTCCCAACCTTTCAGTCCTTTATTCATTTTCAATGATTCGATAAACACAAAGAGATCCCTGCTGTGTGCCAGGCACTGTGCTAGCTGGGGATACAACAATGAATATGACAAACATTACCAAAACTCTCACAAATCTGCATTCAATTTTATTTATTTATTTTAACTTATGTGCAGTGCTAGGAATGCAAAGCGCATACTCTACCACTGAGTTTTCTCCCAAGCCAAGGTCTCACAAATTTAATGGTCTCTCCATTTCTCCCTTAGAGTTCCTCCCTGGCTCTGCATTTAATTTAGACCTTTTCTGTATTGTCTTCCAAGTCTCAAAGGTTTGATGCACGAAGTAGATTACAAATTAATTACAGTCATAGCCAGGGACACAGTGCTTATCTACCACACACAAGACCCTAGGTTTGATCCCCAACATTGCAAAAACAACAACCAAAAAACCCAGACAGATAGACCTACAGACAGACAGACAGACAAGACAGGATACACACTTACTTGGAATAGTTAAATTTTTCAAAAGTCAGGAGTCAGTGGCTTTTACCTGACTACGCAGGAGGCTGAGATTGGGAGGATTACTGCTCCAGGCTACCCCTGGCAAAAAGTTCACAAGACTCCATCTCACTGGAGTCTTAAAAAAAGATCTTTTAGTGAACACTCTTTTATGCAAGTGTCAAACCCACGAACAAGGCAAACCCACAGGAGAGGTTGGCAAAGGTTAGGGATAGGGAGATAGTTTGATTACTAGGAGGCAGCACATCTGAAGTTTGGGGGTAAAGGAAGGTGCTCTATTTCCTGTTTGAAGTGGTGGTTTTAAGATTAGTCACTGGGGGAAACTCACATAAAGTGCTCTTTTGGGGAAGGAGCATGCTAGGGATTGTGCTCAGGGCCTTTTACAGGCTGAGTGCATGATCTACTATTGAGCTACACCCCTAATATTTGTCAGGCACATTATAAAGGGGTCTTGGTATTTAAATACTTAATACATACACAGCTGGAGATGCTCAATGGTAGAGCATTTGTCTAGCATATGCAACAGCATGGGTTTTGATCCCTAGCACCGAAAGAAAGAAAAAAAAAATGAAAAAACCAAAACACTGGTTGAGAGCCTAATATTTAATATTCAACTATTTATAAACGACCCAAAGGTCCATGACATGGAAGTAATATGTAATTTTGCTGAAATTCAAAGATTGTTATTATTGCAAGGGTGGTGTCAAAAAAAAAAACAAAAGAAAACAAATCATGTAAGCAGTAATAACTCCAGCTAACTGTCCAGCATCCTAATCTCAAAGGGCCTTTACTTTATTCTACTTCCTCCGTATGCACTTCTTGGTGGGGAGTGATATGTGATACTGGGTTTATAAATCTGAGATTTCAAAAGGACTTTGCTATATCTCTTGATAATGTCAAGTGTGTCTAAAATAGGCACTTTACAAACATTCTCATCTAATCCAAACAAAAGCCTCAAATGTAAAATACTGATTAAATCAGTGGTATTTGCAGGTGAAAAAATGAGGGATTTGGTTCTCATAACTCCAGGTCCCTGATATTGAAACAGGTGAGATAAAGAACTATATAACCAAGGGAGTTCTCAGAAAAAAAAAGTGGAGGTCACAACTGGGGACAGTAAAAGTAAATAGTGAGTAATGAAAGTATGTAAGAAATTAAAAGTACTGTTTAACCAATTATAAATTCAGTCATTCAGAGGATATGGGGGTCAATGAAGTACCCAAAATACCAAACAACCACATTATGTAGAAGTTACACTCCTTGCACTACACTCTACTAACTGGGCGCTCAGGAAAACCCCATGGTTTTTCAAAAGGAAAAAGTTTTGATTCAGTAAATTTTCTAACTAAAAACCCTAAATTATCCTTTGTAAGGTATGCTCACTAGTGATCAGCAAAATAAAAATTTAAATGACATTCGATTAGCAATTGCCTTTCAAGATCTCTACTATGTAGAAATAACCACAAAAGTGCATAAAGATATGGCTACAAGACTGTTCAGTGAAGTATAATCTGTAATAGGGAACAGTGGGAGATAATAAAGCCTACCAAGAAGGGAAGGTGGGAACATTTTGCAGTATTTTTATATTATGGAATATTTAGCAGCCATTCATGACAATACAGTAACTCACACTGTCCGATATAGAAGCATGTCTGTGATGTTTTGTTCAGTAAATAAAACCAAATGCAAAACATTAAAGATGGCATGGCCTCATTTTTACCTGAACAGGTGAAATTCTTAAAATATATATATATATATATATATATATATATATATATATATATATATATATATTATTTGTGTACATAAGTACAGTATTTCTGGGTGAATAAAGAAAGTCTGATGGGGGGGAGGCATAGTAAACCCAAGGTTACACCAAAAAGAGGCTGCCTAGAGATACACAGCCTCTTCTTAGTCATCACCCATTCTTTTATCTCTTTCCTGGGCTCCCCCTTTGGCCAAATACAGCTGGAAATAAGAGACCAGTACTGCCCCCACAGATCGAATTCCTGGGACAGACACAGATCCAAAGGGCAAACTGCAGATACTAAGTAGAACAATACAGTTAACCAAATTGATGAGGTTATAAAACATTATCTATACTATGATTATCATTCTTATTTATATGCATATTATTGAGTTAGGTATGTCTCGTTGTAATATGAGATTAGTTAATTTTGTGTATTTTTGTTTATATGTATTTATTAATTTTTTATGAAAATCAATGTCAAAAGAATTCTGAAAATTAAAAGCAAAAA